AATTTTGGTTTCGTCGATTCCGTTCCGGTAATTTTGATGTCAAAGATGCACTACGCTCTGGAAGGCCAATTGTCGAAAATGTCGATAAAATAATGGAAATCGTCGAGTCCGAGCGTCATGTAAGCACTGTTTCGATTGCCCAGGAGCTAAATATTGCATAAAAAACCTTTTGGAACCACTTGAATAAGGCTGGATACAAAAAAAAGCTTGATGTATGGATGCCACACGAGTTAACGCAAAGAAACCTCATGGACCGAATTCCCATCTGCAAATCGCTGCTGAATCGCAACCAAATCGACCCATTTCCGCAGCGGATGGTAACTGGTGATGAAAAGTGGATCACTTACGACAACGTCAAGCGAAAACGGTCGTGGTCGAAACGCGGTGAGCCGGTGCAAACGGTGGCCAAGCCAGGAATGACGGTCAGGAAGGCTTTGCTGTGTGTTTGGTGGAATTGGCGGGAACGGTGCATTTGGACACAGCCAATCACAGCACCGTGTGATTAGAGACATTTGTAGGGTCCCTTGGAACAACGACTTGTGATTGGACTGTGTCCAACTGATATACACCCGGGATTGGCAGGGAATCATCCACTATGAGCTGCTCCCCTACCGCCAAACTCTTAATTCGGATCGGTACTGTCAACAATTGAACCGTCTGAAGGAATCAATCGCCCAGATCCCTTATAGAAATATTTACTAAGAATCATTGACAATTACTTATTATCCAGTATTTTTAATACTGAAAATAAGTAATTATCAATGATTCTTAGTATGATATTTCTATAAGGGAAGCCGCCAGCTTTGGCCAATAGAAGAGGAATTGTGTTCCATCAGGACAACGCCAGGCCACACACATCGATAGTGACTCGCCAGAAGCTCCGGGAGTTTGGTTGAGAGGTTCTTATGCATCCACCTTATAGTCCGGACCTGGCACCAAGTAATTACCACCTGTTCATGTCTATGGCGAATGATTTTGCTGGTAAAAAATTCGCCTCAAGAGAAGCTTGTGAAAATCGACTGTCCCAGTTTTTTGCCAATAGGAACAAAGGTTTCTATGAGAGAGGCAAAATGGAATTACCTTCAAAATGGCAACAAGTTATCGAACAAAACGGTGCATATTTGACCTAAATCGGATCATTCTAACTATGCTAAATAAAGCCTTTAATTTCATGCAAAAATAATGGATTTCTTTTTACTACACCTTATATAAACAAA